TGAACTCCCAGTGTGGAAAGAGCCATCCTATTATATCTCACAGCGGCCCTGTTTACTGGGATGCTGACTATTCACTCATGGCCTACCGTAGGCTCTGTCTTAGTGGTTATGACCAGACTGCAAAAAGGATATGAACTGTTGCGCATGAATCGTTCGACTCACCCATGGGCTCACCGCAAGGTTCCATAGTGTAGTGGTTATCACGTCTGCTTTACACGCAGAAAGTCCTGGGTTCGAGCCCCAGTGGAACCAGTTCTTTGACAAAAGACACAACACCTTTGCAGCTTGTGTGTTTGACCCCTCTTCCTTCCTGTACTAGATGAATTTCAACACTGGTGACTGCAGCTCCCCCTAATGAAGGCTATGAAACCTGAACACCCTCCCTCTTGCTAAATATTCTCATACTATGAATGTCTAGAACATGTTATTAATCAACTTTACTGATCTCTGTTAGGCTATGAAAATCATGGCTGATTTTGTTTATATGACCTTCAGAATGTAAGCGGGTGACGTTTTCTAAAACACAATACCGTCACAACCGCCAATTTTTGCTCATTTCTGTCTATCCCCGACTTTGCACGACATGACTGAAAAGACAATATCCAATCAGACACCTTGCCTAGACTGTAAGCGCAGTGGGTGGAGAGCCAGACCAAAGACCATGATGCTTTTCACAGACAGCTGTCCTGACATAGGACATCAGCGGGTGAGGGTGGAGGCATTTATCCGTTGAAGGTAGAAAAGGAAAGAGCGCTGCGAGCAGGGTTCGAACCTGCGCGGGGAATCCCCATTGGATTTCAAGTCCAACGCCTTAACCACTCGGCCATCGCAGCTACGTCGTCTGCTATGTTGATGGTTTAAATGAAGGAAGGAACAAACAAAGAGACCATAACGACAGAAAGTGATAGCTACTTTTCCCGCTACGTTAAGGCTTTGTAGCTTTGATGGCCGAGTCCTTAATGCCTTGAACTGGACAGAAATGAATCAAAACAAAAATAAACACACCGCAACCACGGAAAATAGTTACTTTTGTTTTGAACTAGCCCCCAGGCCTTATAGCTGTGAAGGCCAAGTGGTGAAAGTTTTGAACTGGACATCCAGTAGAGTTTGCCCAATGGTTTGAAGAGATCTTAATTGCTAGTTTCATAGCTGATAAAATGAGAAAACAATCAACAGGCCAAGGGTTAAGGCTGTTAATGTTAAATCAGGGAGATTTATTGAACGAGCTCAATTCCACAACATAACCATGTAGATAGCAAAAGCCCCCTGGATTTGGTCTGTTTCATCAAGCGTTTGAGTTGCTTCCATGACCTTATTCATATAGCAACACAAGGACACATTTGCCAGAAAGACATGTTCATTCTGCAGACAACAAGAGGGTTTGACGCTGTGAGCAGGGTTCGAACCTGCGTGGGACAATCCCATTGGATTTCGAATCCAACGCCTTAACCACTCGGCCATCACAGCTACGCAAAATGAGCCCTCATTCATTCAATCAAACTGCTGAACAAACAGGTGTGGCATAGTGTTTAAGGAGCGGGACTTGCACCCAAAAGGTTGCCGGTTCGGTTCCCCGCTGGGGCACTGCTGCTGTACCCTTGGGCAAGGCACTTAACCCACAATTGCCTCAGTAGATATCAAGCTGTATCAATGGATAGCATTGTAGAAAAATACAAAACTCTAGCTGACGTAATTGGCTCTGGATAAGAGCTTCTGTTAATTGCCGATAATATAATGTGATGATGAACGCTTCCACAGAGTTCGGAAAGTAAACTGGATCATCACAAACTGGCGACTTCCTGCACAGCAGGCTGAACTCCCAGTGTGGAAAGAGCCATCCTATTATATCTCACAGCGGCCCTGTTTACTGGGATGCTGACTATTCACTCATGGCCTACCGTAGGCTCTGTCTTAGTGGTTATGACCAGACTGCAAAAAGGATATGAACTGTTGCACATGAATCGTTCGACTCACCCATGGGCTCACCGCAAGGTTCCATAGTGTAGTGGTTATCACGTCTGCTTTACACGCAGAAAGTCCTGGGTTCGAGCCCCAGTGGAACCAGTTCTTTGACAAAAGACACAACACCTTTGCAGCTTGTGTGTTTGACCCCTCTTCCTTCCTGTACTAGATGAATTTCAACACTGGTGACTGCAGCTCCCCTAATGAAGGCTATGAAACCTGAACACCCTCCCTCTTGCTAAATATTCTCATACTATGAATGTCTAGAACATGTTATTAATCAACTTTACTGATCTCTGTTAGGCTATGAAAATCATGGCTGATTTTGTTTATATGACCTTCAGAATGTAAGCGGGTGACGTTTTCTAAAACACAATACCGTCACAACTGCCAATTTTGCTCATTTCTGTCTATCCCCGACTTTGCACGACATGACTGAAAAGACAATATCCAATCAGACACCTTGCCTAGACTGTAAGCGCAGTGGGTGGAGAGCCAGACCAAAGACCATGATGCTTTTCACAGACAGCTGTCCTGACATAGGACATCAGCGGGTGAGGGTGGAGGCATTTATCCGTTGAAGGTAGAAAAGGAAAGAGCGCTGCGAGCAGGGTTCGAACCTGCGCGGGGAATCCCCATTGGATTTCAAGTCCAACGCCTTAACCACTCGGCCATTGCAGCTACGTCGTCTGGTATGTTGATGGTTTAAATGAAGGAAGGAACAAACAAAGAGACCATAACGACAGAAAGTGATAGCTACTTTTCCCGCTACGGTAAGGCTTTGTAGCTTTGATGGCCGAGTCCTTAATGCCTTGAACTGGACAGAAATGAATCAAAACAAAAATAAACACACCGCAACCACGGAAAATAGTTACTTTTGTTTTGAACTAGCCCCAGGCCTTATAGCTGTGAAGGCCAAGTGGTGAAAGTTTTGAACTGGACATCCAGTAGAGTTTGCCCAATGGTTTGAAGAGATCTTAATTGCTAGTTTCATAGCTGATAAAATGAGAAAACAATCAACAGGCCAAGGGTTAAGGCTGTTAATGTTAAATCAGGAGATTTATTGAACGAGCTCAATTCCACAACATAACCATGTAGATAGCAAAAGCCCCCTGGATTTGGTCTGTTTCATCAAGCGTTTGAGTTGCTTCCATGACCTTATTCATATAGCAACACAAGGACACATTTGCCAGAAAGACATGTTCATTCTGCAGACAACAAGAGGGTTTGACGCTGTGAGCAGGGTTCGAACCTGCGTGGGACAATCCCATTGGATTTCGAATCCAACGCCTTAACCACTCGGCCATCACAGCTACGCAAAATGAGCCCTCATTCATTCAATCAAACTGCTGAACAAACAGGTGTGGCATAGTGTTTAAGGAGCGGGACTTGCACCCAAAGGTTGCCGGTTCGGTTCCCGCTGGGGCACTGCTGCTGTACCCTTGGGCAAGGCACTTAACCCACAATTGCCTCAGTAGATATCAAGCTGTATCAATGGATAGCACTGTAGAAACATACAAAACTCTAGCTGACGTAACTGGCTCTGGATAAGAGCTTCTGTTAATTGCCGATAATATAATGTGATGTAACGCTTCCACAGAGTTCGGAAAGTAAACTGGATCATCACAAACTGGCGACTTCCTGCACAGCAGGCTGAACTCTCAGTGTGGAAAGAGCCATCCTATTATATCTCACAGCAGCCCTGTTTACTGGGATGCTGACTATTCACTCATGGCCTACCGTAGGCTCTGTCTTAGTGGTTATGACCAGACTGCAAAAAGGATATGAACTGTTGCGCATGAATCGTTCGACTCACCCATGGGCTCACCGCAAGGTTCCATAGTGTAGTGGTTATCACGTCTGCTTTACACGCAGAAAGTCCTGGGTTCGAGCCCCAGTGGAACCAGTTCTTTGACAAAAGACACAACACCTTTGCAGCTTGTGTGTTTGACCCCTCTTCCTTCCTGTACTAGATGAATTTCAACACTGGTGACTGCAGCTCCCCCTAATGAAGGCTATGAAACCTGAACACCCTCCCTCTTGCTAAATATTCTCATACTATGAATGTCTAGAACATGTTATTAATCAACTTTACTGATCTCTGTCAGGCTATGAAAATCATGGCTGATTTTGTTTATATGACCTTCAGAATGTAAGCGGGTGACGTTTTCTAAAACACAATACCGTCACAACCGCCAATTTTTGCTCATTTCTGTCTATCCCCGACTTTGCACGACATGACTGAAAAGACAATATCCAATCAGACACCTTGCCTAGACTGTAAGCGCAGTGGGTGGAGAGCCAGACCAAAGACCATGATGCTTTTCACAGACAGCTGTCCTGACATAGGACATCAGCGGGTGAGGGTGGAGGCATTTATCCGTTGAAGGTAGAAAAGGAAAGAGCGCTGCGAGCAGGGTTCGAACCTGCGCGGGGAATCCCCATTGGATTTCAAGTCCAACGCCTTAACCACTCGGCCATTGCAGCTACGTCGTCTGCTATGTTGATGGTTTAAATGAAGGAAGGAACAAACAAAGAGACCATAACGACAGAAAGTGATAGCTACTTTTCCCGCTACGGTAAGGCTTTGTAGCTTTGATGGCCGAGTCCTTAATGCCTTGAACTGGACAGAAATGAATCAAAACAAAAATAAACACACCGCAACCACGGAAAATAGTTACTTTTGTTTTGAACTAGCCCCCAGGCCTTATAGCTGTGAAGGCCAAGTGGTGAAAGTTTTGAACTGGACATCCAGTAGAGTTTGCCCAATGGTTTGAAGAGATCTTAATTGCTAGTTTCATAGCTGATAAAATGAGAAAACAATCAACAGGCCAAGGGTTAAGGCTGTTAATGTTAAATCAGGAGATTTATTGAACGAGCTCAATTCCACAACATAACCATGTAGATAGCAAAAGCCCCCTGGATTTGGTCTGTTTCATCAAGCGTTTGAGTTGCTTCCATGACCTTATTCATATAGCAACACAAGGACACATTTGCCAGAAAGACATGTTCATTCTGCAGACAACAAGAGGGTTTGACGCTGTGAGCAGGGTTCGAACCTGCGTGGGACAATCCCATTGGATTTCGAATCAACGCCTTAACCACTCGGCCATCACAGCTACGCAAAATGAGCCCTCATTCATTCAATCAAACTGCTGAACAAACAGGTGTGGCATAGTGTTTAAGGAGCGGGACTTGCACCCAAAAGGTTGCCGTTCGGTTCCCGCTGGGGCACTGCTGCTGTACCCTTGGGCAAGGCACTTAACCCACAATTGCCTCAGTAGATATCAAGCTGTATCAATGGATAGCACTGTAGAAACATACAAAACTCTAGCTGACGTAACTGGCTCTGGATAAGAGCTTCTGTTAATTGCCGATAATATAATGTGATGTAACGCTTCCACAGAGTTCGGAAAGTAAACTGGATCATCACAAACTGGCGACTTCCTGCACAGCAGGCTGAACTCTCAGTGTGGAAAGAGCCATCCTATTATATCTCACAGCAGCCCTGTTTACTGGGATGCTGACTATTCACTCATGGCCTACCGTAGGCTCTGTCTTAGTGGTTATGACCAGACTGCAAAAAGGATATGAACTGTTGCGCATGAATCGCTCGACTCACCCATGGGCTCACCGCAAGGTTCCATAGTGTAGTGGTTATCACGTCTGCTTTACACGCAGAAAGTCCTGGGTTCGAGCCCCAGTGGAACCAGTTCTTTGACAAAAGACACAACACCTTTGCAGCTTGTGTGTTTGACCCCTCTTCCTTCCTGTACTAGATGAATTTCAACACTGGTGACTGCAGCTCCCCTAATGAAGGCTATGAAACCTGAACACCCTCCCTCTTGCTAAATATTCTCATACTATGAATGTCTAGAACATGTTATTAATCAACTTTACTGATCTCTGTTAGGCTATGAAAATCATGGCTGATTTTGTTTATATGACCTTCAGAATGTAAGCGGGTGACGTTTTCTAAAACACAATACCGTCACAACCGCCAATTTTTGCTCATTTCTGTCTATCCCCGACTTTGCACGACATGACTGAAAAGACAATATCCAATCAGACACCTTGCCTAGACTGTAAGCGCAGTGGGTGGAGAGCCAGACCAAAGACCATGATGCTTTTCACAGACAGCTGTCCTGACATAGGACATCAGCGGGTGAGGGTGGAGGCATTTATCCGTTGAAGGTAGAAAAGGAAAGAGCGCTGCGAGCAGGGTTCGAACCTGCGCGGGGAATCCCCATTGGATTTCAAGTCCAACGCCTTAACCACTCGGCCATCGCAGCTACGTCGTCTGGTATGTTGATGGTTTAAATGAAGGAAGGAACAAACAAAGAGACCATAACGACAGAAAGTGATAGCTACTTTTCCCGCTTCGTTAAGGCTTTGTAGCTTTGATGGCCAGTCCTTAATGCCTTGAACTGGACAGAAATGAATCAAAACAAAAATAAACACACACCGCAACCACGGAAAATAGTTACTTTTGTTTTGAACTAGCCCCAGGCCTTATAGCTGTGAAGGCCAAGTGGTGAAAGTTTTGAACTGGACATCCAGTAGAGTTTGCCCAATGGTTTGAAGAGATCTTAATTGCTAGTTTCATAGCTGATAAAATGAGAAAACAATCAACAGGCCAAGGGTTAAGGCTGTTAATGTTAAATCAGGAGATTTATTGAACGAGCTCAATTCCACAACATAACCATGTAGATAGCAAAAGCCCCCTGGATTTGGTCTGTTTCATCAAGCGTTTGAGTTGCTTCCATGACCTTATTCATATAGCAACACAAGGACACATTTGCCAGAAAGACATGTTCATTCTGCAGACAACAAGAGGGTTTGACGCTGTGAGCAGGGTTCGAACCTGCGTGGGACAATCCCATTGGATTTCGAATCCAACGCCTTAACCACTCAGCCATCACAGCTACGCAAAATGAGCCCTCATTCATTCAATCAAACTGCTGAACAAACAGGTGTGGCATGGGCGTCCCCATTAGACAACAGGCTGGGCGTCACCCTCAACAACAGGCTGGACTTCACCGACTACATCTCCCAGACGGCACGCTCCTGTCGATTCCTCCTCTACAACATCAGGAGGATTCGCCCTTTTTTGACCACCTACTCCACCCAGCTGCTCGTCCAGGCCACTGTGCTCTCCCGCTTGGACTACTGTAATCGCCTCCTCGCAGGCCTCCCAGCCTGCACCATTCAGCCGCTGCAGCTCATCCAAAGACGCAGCTGCTAGGCTGATCTACAATCTCCCAAGTTCTCCCTTTGTCACCCCCTACTGAGATCCCTCCACTGGCTCCCAATCGCAGCCAGGATCCGCTTCAAGACCCTGACTCTCACCTTTTCCGCTGCAAGAAAGACTGCCCGACCTACCTCCAGGACCTCATCCTGCCCTACGCACCCGCTCGTCAACTCCGCTCTGCTACATCCGGACGCCTCGCTCCACCCACCAATAGTTTGAAAGGCCCACGCTCCTCATTGCGTTCTCCATCATCGCCCCCAGTGGTGGAATGAACTCCCCACCCCCTAAGAACAACTCCATCAATCCAACCCTTCAGACGTGCACTGAAGACACACCTCTTCAGACTCTACCTGGACTGATACCTCCCTCTTCGACCTTGTAACTTTGATGTTGTGAATCTGACTCCTGCCTTGTACTTGTTGCTCACTTGTCTAGGTAGTATAGCGGTACTCCATTTTTCTCTCTGTAATTGTATTTGAGATGCAATCCTAGTTCAGATTAGTTGGCTCGCGTGACTGACCTTGCGCTCAGCTTCAGCACTATTTGCATTATATGACCTTTACACATCTTGCTCTTGTGCCTGTTGTTTGCTCACTATTTGCACTTTTGTACGTCGCTTTGGATAAAAGCGTCTGCCAAATGAATAAATGTAAATGTGTTTAAGGAGCGGGACTTGCACCCAAAAGGTTGCCGGTTCGGTTCCCCGCTGGGGCACTGCTGCTGTACCCTTGGGCAAGGCACTTAACCCACAATTGCCTCAGTAGATATCAAGCTGTATCAATGGATAGCACTGTAGAAAAATACAAAACTCTAGCTGACGTAACTGGCTCTGGATAAGAGCTTCTGTTAATTGCCGATAATATAATGTGATGTAACGCTTCCACAGAGTTCGGAAAGTAAACTGGATCATGACAAACTGGCGACTTCCTGCACAGCAGGCTGAACTCTCAGTGTGGAAAGAGCCATCCTATTATATCTCACAGCGGCCCTGTTTACTGGGATGCTGACTATTCACTCATGGCCTACCGTAGGCTCTGTCTTAGTGGTTATGACCAGACTGCAAAAAGGATATGAACTGTTGCGCATGAATCGTTCGACTCACCCATGGGCTCACCGCAAGGTTCCATAGTGTAGTGGTTATCACGTCTGCTTTACACGCAGAAAGTCCTGGGTTCGAGCCCCAGTGGAACCAGTTCTTTGACAAAAGACACAACACCTTTGCAGCTTGTGTGTTTGACCCCTCTTCCTTCCTGTACTAGATGAATTTCAACACTGGTGACTGCAGCTCCCCTAATGAAGGCTATGAAACCTGAACACCCTCCCTCTTGCTAAATATTCTCATACTATGAATGTCTAGAACATGTTATTAATCAACTTTACTGATCTCTGTTAGGCTATGAAAATCATGGCTGATTTTGTTTATATGACCTTCAGAATGTAAGCGGGTGACGTTTTCTAAAACACAATACCGTCACAACCGCCAATTTTGCTCATTTCTGTCTATCCCCGACTTTGCACGACATGACTGAAAAGACAATATCCAATCAGACACCTTGCCTAGACTGTAAGCGCAGTGGGTGGAGAGCCAGACCAAAGACCATGATGCTTTTCACAGACAGCTGTCCTGACATAGGACATCAGCGGGTGAGGGTGGAGGCATTTATCCGTTGAAGGTAGAAAAGGAAAGAGCGCTGCGAGCAGGGTTCGAACCTGCGCGGGGAATCCCCATTGGATTTCAAGTCCAACGCCTTAACCACTCGGCCATCGCAGCTACGTCGTCTGGTATGTTGATGGTTTAAATGAAGGAAGGAACAAACAAAGAGACCATAACGACAGAAAGTGATAGCTACTTTTCCCGCTACGTTAAGGCTTTGTAGCTTTGATGGCGAGTCCTTAATGCCTTGAACTGGACAGAAATGAATCAAAACAAAAATAAACACACCGCAACCACGGAAAATAGTTACTTTTGTTTTGAACTAGCCCCAGGCCTTATAGCTGTGAAGGCCAAGTGGTGAAAGTTTTGAACTGGACATCCAGTAGAGTTTGCCCAATGGTTTGAAGAGATCTTAATTGCTAGTTTCATAGCTGATAAAATGAGAAAACAATCAACAGGCCAAGGGTTAAGGCTGTTAATGTTAAATCAGGGAGATTTATTGAACGAGCTCAATTCCACAACATAACCATGTAGATAGCAAAAGCCCCCTGGATTTGGTCTGTTTCATCAAGCGTTTGAGTTGCTTCCATGACCTTATTCATATAGCAACACAAGGACACATTTGCCAGAAAGACATGTTCATTCTGCAGACAACAAGAGGGTTTGACGCTGTGAGCAGGGTTCGAACCTGCGTGGGACAATCCCATTGGATTTCGAATCCAACGCCTTAACCACTCAGCCATCACAGCTACGCAAAATGAGCCCTCATTCATTCAATCAAACTGCTGAACAAACAGGTGTGGCATGGGCGTCCCCATTGGACAACAGGCTGGGCGTCACCCTCGACAACAGGCTGGACTTCACCGACTACATCTCCCAGACGGCACGCTCCTGTCGATTCCTCCTCTACAACATCAGGAGGATTGTAGCCCTTTTGACCACCTACTCCACCCAGCTGCTCGTCCAGGCCACTGTGCTCTCCCGCTTGGACTACTGTAACGCCCTCCTCGCAGGCCTCCCAGCCTGCACCATTCAGCCGCTGCAGCTCATCCAAAACGCAGCTGCTAGGCTGATCTACAATCTCCCAAGTTCTCCCGCGTCACCCCCTACTGAGATCCCTCCACTGGCTCCCAATCGCAGCCAGGATCCGCTCAAGACCCTGACTCTCACCTTTTCCGCTGCAAGAAAGACTGCCCCGACCTACCTCCAGGACC